GAGAGAGAGAGATAACCAGAGACTGTGTGAGAGAAATAACTGGAGAGACAAGAGACAACTAGACAGTGTGAGAGAAATAACTAGGGACACACATAGAGAGAGAAAGAGAGAGAGAGATAACCAGAGACTGTGTGTGAGAAATAACTGGAGAGACAGAGACAACTAGACAGTGTGAGAGAAATAACGAGAGAGGTATAATGAACAAGGAAGGGAGTGCGATTGAGACAGGATCAACCGGAGAAGGGAGTGTGTGAGAGGGAGAAGGAAACAGAGAATGCGAAGTAAATAGTGTGTAGACAGCAAAGTGACGGTAAGAGTGAAAGAGAGAGTAGTGGGAGTGTGTGAGAATAGTGTCTGAGGGTAAGAGAAGAAGATAGTGTGTGAGAGAGTAGCGAGTGAGTGTGTGTGTGAGAGAGTAGCGAGTGAGTGTGTGTGTGAGAGAATATAGTGAGTGTGTGTGTGAGAATAATGAGTGAGTGAGTGCAAGAGAGAGTAGCGGGTGAGAGAGAGAGACAACAGTGAGTGTGTGTGAGATAAAGAAATAGAGAGGCTGTAAGAGAGAGAGAGAGACATAATGTAAAAGACAGAAAGACAGTGAAGTAGACAGATTGAGACTGCGAAAGAGTGCAAGAGATAAAGATGGAGAAAGATGAGAAATGATAGATGCAGACAGATAATGTAAGATAGTGAGCGTCAGACAGAGAAAGAAAGATGATGAGAGTGATAGAAGGAGAGAGATAGTAAAAGAGATAATGAAAGATGGGGAAGGGGGGAGAAATATGTCTGGAGAGAAAGATAGACTGGGACAGCGAGCAAGACATATGGTGTGATAGGCATCAGAGAGGAAGAGATTGACTGAGATAAACAGTGAGAGACTGAGACATCGAGAAAGAGAGAGAGAGAATGAAAGACAGACAGAAAGAACAATAGGGAGAGATTGAGACAGCGTGTGTGTGTGTGAGAGAGAGCTATATAGAGAGTTTAGTGAGAAAATGACAGTCCGAAATAGACAAAATAATCAGGGTGGAGAAGGAGTATGTTGAGAGAAATGTACTGATTAAATCTTTTGGTGTTTTAAAATGCATTATTGTAATTGATTATTTCCATTTATGATGATCAATCCCATTGTTCCTAAAACAGAATCAGTTCAGAAGGTATTGGGTTTGAAAAGGGCTCTAATGGGTACTCAGCACGTGTGAAAAGTAGAGATTTAAGTGATTCCTCTGACAATGTTTAAAGACTAACATTATAGTACAAAACACTTGAATTTAGCAGTGAGTTCCATTCAAAATTTCAGTGGCTGTAACTCAGTGAGATGGATTCTAAGTGCCCTCTCACTTTTGAGTAGGTGCTTCCCGGAGGCTCTCTCTGTTCACACTGCTCCCATTTTCACAAGACAGTGTTCAAAGTCAGAGTTCCCAATGCCTCCACTGACCCTCTCCCAGGAGGATAGGGAGTGAGGAATGGATCCTGACTGTTTCCAAATGGGTCATTCCAAATGCAATTCATGGGAGGTCAGCACTGAACTTCAGCAGGAATTTTACTTGCTAGCTAGACATTGTGAGCCTGGGGCCAATCCAGGACACTGTCTATTTGAGAGACAGGTAATATTCTGAATTCAGCTGGGTATACATGTTTGGAAGGCTGGCACTCAGTTCCAAGTACCAAGCTTGCACTTGCTCGTGTAGAAATCTTTGTGAGCATTCATATATCAGTATTAGCCTCTGATGTCTCAATAAGTAGGTTTTTCTCCAGGGCAGGGGAACCCAGAACTAGAAGGCACAGGTTTAATGTGCGAGGGCAAAGCTTTGAAAGGGACCTAAGGGGCAGAGAGTCATGTGTGTATGGAATGAGCTGCCAGAGGAAGTAGTGGAGGCTGGTACAATTACAACATTTAAAAGGCATCTGAATGGGTACATGGATAGGAAGGGTTTAGATGGATATGGGCTAAATGCTAGCAAATGGGATTAGAGTAATTTAGGATATCTGGTCAGTATGGACATGTTGGACCAAAGGGTCTGTTTCCATGCTGTACATCTCTATGATGCTATAAGTACAGTCGGGTTAAGTCGATGTTTCATAAAAGGATATTGCTAACCAGTCACGCATCCTGATGATAAGGGAGGTACGAAATGAGTATTTTGCATCAGTGTTTACTGTGGAGAAGGATATGGAAGAGAGATAGTAAAACAGATGATGAAAGATGTGGGGGAGAAATACCCAAGGTCTTTTCCCCAGGGTAGGCGAGTCCAAAACTAGAGGGGCATAGGTTTAAGGTGAGAGGGGGAAAGATTTAAAAAGGACCTAAGGCATAACTTTTTCACACAGAGGGTGGTGCATGTATGGAATGAGCTGCCAGAGGAAGTGATGGAGGCTGGTACAATTACAATATTTAAAAGGTGTCTGGATGGGTATATGAATAGGAAGGGTTTGGAGGGATATGGGCCAAATGCTGGCACATGGGACTGAGTTTATGTAGGATATCTGGTCGGCATGGATGAGTTGGATCAAAGGGTCTGTTTCCGTGCTGAACATCTGTGTGACTGTATGACTGTATTTGGGTAAAACATGTGGTGTCTGGGACAAGTATACAGTCCAAGTACACAGATCACTTTTGGACAATTAAAGTTACGGTTACTGTGACAAAAGGCTTGAAAGGCAGCCGGAACTTGTGTCGGGGATTGCTGTAACACATGATGCTTCAAAACAGCATCTATCTGACTTGGAAAGTAGAAGTTACATCTTGAAGTGTTTCGAATGGATGGTCTGTGGAGTAACTATAAGACTGTTTCGATCAGATTTTCAGACTCGGGTCTGATTTTCAGTTCATTGTGGAGGTGAATGCCAAGACTCAGGAAGGAAGATTGGATCTCTCCTGACACTGAGAGGAGATGAACAATCTCTCTCCAGTATGAGATAGCCTGTGTGACCTCAGGCTGGACAATGAAGTGAATCCCCTCCCAGACACACACAGCAAAGGAAAGCCTTCTCCCCAATATGAACGTGACTGTTTTTTCAGGTTAGGCTGGATGGCAGGACATACAAGGCTATGGTGTTGGAAAATAAGATGAGAAGAGTTAGGTGGTTGCTTTTGAATGGTGCAGACACGATGGACTGAAGGGCCTTTTTCTGTGCTGTAGACCCAACATGACTATGACAAGGGACATAAGTTGTACTGTTTGCATACATTATGACAATATCCACACACCTCCCCATCGGCTATTCTGTACAGCTGAATATGACAGCTTCCTTTTTTGTTGGTGGCCCTCAATCATGCTGAAATCTTCATTCAAGCCAATATTATCTCTAGACTTGACTGTTCCAGTGCACTCTTGGCCAGTGCTGAAACTTCTTGCTGCTCCAGCCTGCACTTGCACCAAGCTCTGTTCACCCATGCCCCTGTACTCACTGACCAGCAATTACCCCAGCACAACAGTGCCTTGATTTCAAAATTCTCATCCTTGTCTTCAAATCCCTCCATCGCTTCGATCTTCCCTCCCGCTATCGTCTCGTTTAACCCCAATGATCTGCTGAAATCTCTGTTCTCTTCTAATTCTGAGCTTTTGATTATCTTGAATGAATTCATCATTTGCCTTCAGAAGCTTCCAAGCCTGAAATTCAAAATTTCCTCCCTATCCTTCTCCAACCCTCTACCTCTTTTCCCTCCTTTTTAAGATGCTCCTTAAAGCCTACCTCTCTGACCAAAGCTGTGATCAATGGCCTTCTGACCAATTTGCTCCGACATCTAAGGCAGGAAGGTGGAGTCGAGGGTGATCAGATCAGCCATGATCTCATTGAATAACAGAGCAGACTTGATGGGCTGAATGGCCTACTTCTCTGAATGCTCCTTTTTCTTACAACCTTACCTGCTCCAATATCTCTTTACATGGCTTGACTCCGCATTATTCTGTGAAAAACCTTGGGACATTTTGTTGCATTAGAGATCCTCTATAAATACAAGCTTTTGGTTAATGTACTAATGAAAGGCTATAATGAGAGACTGTCACTGAGTCAAAATCCTGGAACTCCCTCCTTAACAACATGTGGGTGTACCTACACCACAAGGACTGCAGCGGTTCAAGAGGCAGCTCAAATGCAGTTAAGGATAGGCAATAACTGCTGGCTGAGCCAGCAACACCCACATCCCCTGAAATAAACAGAAAATCTTGCCCTATGCCTGAGGAAGGCTGCAGTAGTACTTAGAACATGGACTCTCTATTGATCTATTGAGTTATCAGAAACATAATGTGCTGTTTAGACCAGGGAACTCCCAAGTTTAAGTCCTGATTGGAATGGAATTGCTCATCATTGCATTGGTTCTGGGCAATGCATTTCATAGGCTCACACTTGGTGACTCTACGCTTGCTGTGAGAAAATGTGCGAATGTTGGTGACAATTTACAATTGTGTTCCCCACCATGTTCAAAACTTCGATTGATAGTGCATGAACTGTGATCACATTGCCAAGGTACAGTCACTACCTATGGACC